AATTAATTAAAAAAAATAAATGAGGGGTGGCTAGAGGAGAACCCAAGTGAAAAGAGGAAGGAAAATGAACTGGCAAAAGCTAAGACGGCCAGCCCCCCTAAGACTGTCAGCCTCGTCATTGCTCCATCTCCTTCTGGCCCAACCACGCCCTTCTGGGGACATTACATTCAGGTAGCCAAAGGAATGGCATGTCTGGGTTTTAATTCTTAAGGCTGAGTTTGAGAAAAGAGCCATCTAAGAATTTCAGATTTTAGTTTGGTTTAAAAATACTATGCCAAGTCTTACAAAGTGGCAGAATGAAGAAATGAAATGAATCTTTGGCAAGATACATTGCTAAAAACACAAACTGAATGAAACATACCTGTTAGTGTATTTCCTCCCTTATAGGGTAGATTTCGGACCGCTTCGATGACCTCATCTTTTGTGCTGAAGGCATTCAAGTGCCATTCTATTCGGGGGTCGCCGCTATACTGTGCAAGACCTGGTAAAAAAAGATGAAACAAGACCTGGTAAAAAAAAGATGACACAGCCCACCCAGAAATGATGGGTTACTCAAAGATCTAGTGCACTGTTTGTGAAACCAGAGTAATAAAGGGCCTGATCTTTCTAACAATTCTTTCTCTGCTTCACTGTGTATTTTCAAAAAGAATTCTTGGCATCAATTTAAGGAATTAGTTTGGACATATCTTGGAGCAGGAGGAAAGTACATATTTTCTAGCCATTTAGAAGTAGCACCTAATTAGGTACTTGGTATTTAAAAAACAAATCTGATTATATTTGTAGATAAAAGGTCTAGATTTACTGGTTCATTTTTATCCTCAAAGGAATGATTTTCCTTAATGGCTATATAAAAGTGAAACTATGAGACTCTATATGATAAAGTGAGATATACTGCTCAAAGATTTATAACTTTTTTTTGATCTTAGCTAGAATTAACTTGGCAAAGATTATTTTGTACTCTAAATCTATTTCCAATTTCCAATTTTCTTAGTTCAAAATTCCACTGGATTCAGCTGTTTCTTTTAAATAAAAAGAAAACTTCTACCTGAAAAATTCTTAAACCAGTTGCAACTTTAAAAGTTACCATTTTAAGGCACAGAAGATTTTGACTTTTTAGAAAATTAAAATGTGTTCAATAATTAATTGAATGACAGCATCATTCAGTGTAAATTAGTAGGAATAGATATTTATTGATCCAAACTTGTGCTCCTAGAAATATCACCACAGCTGATCCTATAATTCTAAAAGCTGCTCTCTAAAGTTTTTTGAAATCTCTTATGAAGCTTCCCAGCATATTTACACTGACAGCTGACTTCCGCTAATAACAGAACATGTACCAATTCGTGTCTTCTCTGAGTCCACGTTGAAGGCTGTCACCAGGTTCTCCAAGAAAAGCCGAACCAGTCTGAAGTTGAATCTTCCAATACTCCATGAACCATCAACCAGGATCACAATATCAGCAATGGCTGGAGTTTCACAGAAAAACTTCACTTCTGCAAAGCGCAACCCAGAAAATGATCTATATTGCTGCTGCAACATTTTTTTTTTAAAAAAGTGATTCTATTTTATATCTTTCCAATAACTTAGTGCTAATTATACAAGAAAGTTCCTACTAAAGCAACCGCGTTTTTACAACCTTTCCCTTAAATGCATTCTTACTAGAAAAAAAATGTGGTAACAGCTAGCAGCAGTGAGTGTTCTGGAAATAGCAAAACACTGGCAGGTTCACACCGTTCTGGCAACTCAAGCCTTCTGTGTATTTTAGAGTAGTGTCTGCGAAAAATCATCCAGCTTTGGGTTCTAGCCTGTAGATTCTTTCCAGGAAAGGTCTTAGCCACCAGTGTGAGGGAGTCAGCAGAGATGGGATGATGGCCAGAAGGCAGAGAGGCGGCTCTCCTGTTCTGATAAGCCTATGTTGGTGGAAGTGATAGAAACGAAATAGGGGCTTCCTGAATCTCAGGAAAAATCACAGCCGTGCATTTAATCTAAGAAAGGTACACAGTGTGATGTGATGAGCACTGGGTGTTACATGCAACTGATGAATTACTGAACTCTACATCCGAAACTAATGATGTACTATAGGTTGGCTAATTGAATGTGAATAAAAATTAAAAAAAAAAAGAAAAGAAAAATACACAGATCTTTGCTAAAGTAGGAAGGGTTTGTGGAAGAAGAAAATTGGAAAAGGGCCCAGGAGTTTCCCCATATTTAAATTCTTATGCATATTATATCCATGTGACAATAAGGTTTTGTCCCTAAAAATCATTTAGTAATTGATTTTTTAAATGGCTCAATTAGGTTTTAGAATAAGGAGCTAGAAAAGATGCCCAGAAGCCAGAGTAAAACTACCCTAAGCTTTACCCATAGAGAAAGTCTCAGCCGAAATGATCTTTGCAACAAAGGAAGATGCTGTCTGATAAGGCTGGGTTTGTGCTTGACTAGGTGTCGGTCCTCCAGAGCCAAGACACTAAAATATTCTTAGTGTATTAGAACCTTTAGAGTTTTGCAGTATGGTTAGTACGTTTAGTAGCATTGCTTCATACTCTAGTTTGTGTTTCCAAATGGGCTACTTAACTTTGCTCAAAGTTCATATTAGGACTGGTGATCATGAATAGAGTGCGAGTGTTTTCTTTGTGTCCATGTCAACTTCTTGAAATTGCCCAGCTAGTCCCTATCTCATTTGTTTTCTAACATTAAAATAACAATAAAACAATATTTGAAATACAATACAGTTTATGTAATGAAAACCAAAACACAGAAGTGTTTATGAATGTTTTCCCCCAGGGCAAAAATAATCAACCTACTACAGTTGGACTGGGCAATTCAATAGATGCCCCTGAACCTACCAGGTCACATTTATTCTAAAAAAATCTTTTTTTTCCCCAGACATAAATATGCATGGAATACTTAGATCCTTTTACCAGAAGGGAAAAAATGTACTTGCCAATGAAATAATCAGGTACTCATTATGGAAGCTAAACAGCACAACTCAATAAATCCAAAGTTTATATATTACATTTTTGGGCACCAAATCTTCCTTCTTTAATAATCAAATACAAAGCCACTACACTGAAGTATTCTAAAACAGAATTATTGCAAGAAGTCATGGGATAAAAATTAATTTGGGATTTGGAAATAATCAGGGAAAACTGAAGTCTTTTGAAGCTTTAAGAATCTCTCTCTCTCAGTTTTTATGGGGAAACTTACTTCAGATGGAGAGTCCTTTTCTTTCTTTTCCAAAACTACTGGGGGGTACTGCTTCACTTTGTAATAAATTATTTGAGTGCATTGTAGATAGGCTCTTAGAAAGGGAGCAATTTCTCCCTGCTTATTTCGAAGAGGACTAGGAAAACTGATATTTTATGTGAGAGCAAAAATAGGTGAACTACACTGAAATGCAGCAATCTGGATGAATCTTAGCTACATACCGCTATTTGGTAGGTAGCAATATTTGGTGGGGGGAAATATGAATCCCAAAATATTGCTATTAGCATGACATCTTTTTATAAAGGTAAAAATAATTAATATAAAAATATTCCCTTCTTAAAAATATATATGGACACCGTAGATCTATGTTTAGGAGTGGGGGGGGGTGTTGTTGGGTGATGAAGAAAAGAGTCCAAGACAGTGATTGTCTTGGGTGAGAAGGACCAAGGAATTGGGGTGGCAGTAGCCCTCTGGTGATATGTGGGTTGTAGGCAAAGTCTTAGCTTTTCTGGGGGAGAGAGGGGTTTGAATGATTATTATACCATTAAAAAATAACAGATTAAGTGACTAATCAAAAATAATCCTACCTGGAATGCAGAAAATATTGACTAGAAAAATAATTTCGGTGTTTATATCATACAATTTAAACACCAAACCTTAAAGACAAGGTACAATTCCACGTACTTGATTTGAAATCAAGGCCTCTGTATGCCCTGTTTTCTAACTAAAGACCAGTATCTGTTGTATCAGCAGAAAGATGCAGTTTTTAAGATGTTGTTGGATTTCAGAAGTCAAAATATTATCATTGCTTTTGCATATTTTTAAAAGATTTTATTTATTTATTTGACTCAGAGAGAGAGATACAGCGAGAGAGGGAACACAAGCAGGGGGAGTGGGAGAGGGAGAAGCAGGCTTCCCGCTGAGCAAGGAGCCCGATGTGGGGACTCGATCCCAGGACCCTGGGATCACGACCTGAGCCGAAGGCAGACGCTTAGCGGCTGAGCCACCCAGGTGCCCCTGATTTTGCATTTCAAAGTATGATTTTTCTTCAAGATTAGTGCACACACACTTGGGAACTGTGGAAACAGTGTTTTTTTTAAATGCCCTAAACCCTGATTATTAGCTCTAAGATCTGTCCAAGCACCATGATACTAAGGGCTATCTCCCACTGTAGCGGGCACGAATGCAGCACGTCCAACTCCACTAAGATTGAGTGTAGGCGGAACGAACTGTGTATAGAGTTTGCACCGGGCATACCCTGCCAAGTGTGTTTGTGCCCGAGGCAGACCAATGTTCAAGCACTTGGGGCAAGAGGTAGTTTTAAAGTTGCCAGGTTCAAGTTCAATAATCACACATCTCAAACATGACTCCAGCTGCTCTAGTGAATCTTTTAAAATATACATTCAAATTTTATTAAATTTTAAATATATTCAGGGTGCCTGGGTGGCTCAGTCAGTGTCTGCCTTCGGCTCAGTTCATGATCTCAGGGTCCTGGGATCAGAGTCCCACGTTGGGCTCCCTGCTCCTGTTCTCTGTCACTATTTCTGCCTCTCTCTAAAATAAATAAATAAAATCTTTTTAAAAAATAAGAATTTTTGCGTATATTCAAATCTTATTAAAAGTAAGAGCCCAGATTCAGCACTGATGACAAATGCTATCTCCTTCCACTGGAAAATATGTTATCCATGTCAGCATTCCACAGGAGAGAGACCAGTCAGAAAAAAAAATATTAAGCATCTTAAAATGTGCTAAGGAATCAAATGGTGGAAAACCAGACACACCTGGGAGCCCAGATAAATGTCATGTAAAACTCTGTAGCCAAATGTCATTTTAAAATGCATTTAAAAGGGACAGGTACATGTCCACAACAGCCAAAAGATGGGAAGACCCAGGTGTCCATCCACAGATGAATGGATAAAGAAGATGTGGTATATGTATACAATGGAATACTACTCAGCCATCAAAAAAATGAAATCTTGTCATTTGCAATGATGTGGATGAAACTAGAGGGTATTATGCTGAGCAAAATAAATCAATCAGAGAAAGACAAGCATTATACAATTTCATCCATACGTGGAATTTAAGAAACAAAACAGATTAACACAGGGGAAGGGGAGGAAAAATAAAATGAGATGAAAATAAAGAGGGAGGCAAACCATCGGAGACTCTTAACTATAGGAAACAAGCTGAGGGTTGCTGGAGGGGAGGTGGATTGGGGGAATGGGGTAATTGAGTGATGGGCATTAAGGAGGGCACTTGATGTAATGAGCACTGGGTATGATATGCAACTGATGAATCACTAAATTCTACCTCTGAAACTAATGATACAGTATATGTTAATTAAATTGACTTTAAATAAAAAGATTAAATAAAAAGAACTACCCCCCCAAAAAAACCCATGAAATCCTAGTTATCAAGTCAGCCTAACAGTCAAATAGGACTGTGAATTCTTAAAATCAAGTTATAAACAGTCTATTGGTAAAATATAAACAAACAAACAAATGGGATAGGTACATATCCTTTCATTGTTAAAACAGTATTCTGTAAGTAATTATTATAATAAAATAAATCCTTTTGGCCCTCCATGTTGTATTTAACATTAAAGCAAAGGTGCAGGGAAAATGATTTCTTGAACTGTGTTTTATTTCAGTTCTTGGCTTAACATGGACTCTATCTAAAATGCAATTCTGAAAATGCAGGGAGTGTAAAAAGAAAAAAAAAAAGCTAAGTAGCTGATGGCAATCAAAGGAAAGCACCCAATCTACAGGTTAGATCACAAGTGTAACACTGAGGTCACAGATGACATCTGAAGGAATGGCTTGCAGCAGGTGCTCCACCCTCTGCAGGAGCAGGACAAGGAGGCCCAGGAGAAATCAACATCTCCCTATCTGAAAGTTACGTACATCTTGACATTCAACGTTAAGCCCTCTATGCTCATCTATGGATTGAGTCCTCACAACAGCTCTATGACGCAGGTACCATTTTTATTGGTCCTACTTCTGGCCGAAAAGGATGATACACACGGGCTGAGTGGTTTGCCCAAGGGGTGACACAGTGAAGAGGTGGCAAACCTGAGGTTTGGACCCCAGTATCATGTCTTTAAAATCTAAGCTTTGGGGGACTCCTGAGTAGCTCAGTCGTTAAGGGACTGACCCCTTGGCTTCAGCTCAGGTCATGATCTCATGGTCTCGGGAGATTGAGCCCTACGTCAGGCTCTGTGCTCAGCGGGGAGTTTGTTTGAGATTCTCTCTCTCTCCCTCTCCTTCTGCCGCTCCCCTCCATGCTT